AATCTTGAAACAGTAGAAATAAATCAAATGAAATGTAAATAAATGCAGAGATAATCCTTGTTTAGGTCTCAATATAGTTAAGATGAAATTATCTCAAACCTGATCTGTAAATTTAGTGCATTCCCAATGAAATTTCTAGCAAGTTGTTTCAAAACATAAACTAGACAGCACCAACTGCAAAAGGACAAACTTCAAAAAGGCACACATCTGGATCCCAGAACCTTCAAAATACTCCAAAGGCCTGCATTTAAAATGTGAAACTGTAAAACTGTAGAAGATGTTCATGACCACATGTTTCATGATGAGGCTTTAAATATAGCCCCCACACAAACCCATGAAAGAAAAAAACTGATAATGTGGATTGTATTAAATTACTCTGTAAAAATTATATTAAGGAAATGAAAAGACAAGTCAAAGATTGGGCAAAACATTTGGAAAGTATATGTCTCAAATACACTTGTGCCCAAAGTATAATAAGACAACCCAATGGGTAAATATCTGAACAGACAACTCTCAAGAAAATTATGAGATGGCAAAGTATTGGGGCCAATGGCCAGTGTCTCATTGAAGGGTTCTTCTTCCTGCCCAGGGGAATCTAAGCCACCCCTGTCGCATCACATGACTAAACTAATCAGAGTCACTCCAAGTGAATTTGGGGAATAAATAAAGACACAGACACAAAAAGTACCTTTCCTTTGGGTTCAGTTACCACTCTTCAGCTGCAGCTCCCATAAAGGGGGCAAGGCAGACAACAGCAAGAAAGAGAGAAAAGAGCACATGCTGAATCCTTTTTAAAAAATATTTTTTAGTTATAGATGGATACAATATCTTTATTTTGTTTATTCATTTTTTATGTGGTGCTGAGGATTGAACCCAGTGCCTCACATGTGCGAGGCAAGCGCTCTGCCACTGAGCCACAACAAGAGGCCCTGCTAAACCTTTTTATTGGGGAGAAGCCATTCAAATGAGGCAAGGGGTCAGGTTTCAGGGAGTTGAGTCTAGCATCATGATGTTTTGCTGTCAGCAGGCTGACTGACATCTAGGAAGGCCATGCCCATCTCACCATGAGCTGTGTGGGGATCCTAGAGCAAGTGAAAAGACCAGAGCGAGGCCTGCCCAAACAGAGGAACAACATCGGTTCAGACCACCCTGTGCACTCAATGCTTACAGTTCACTCACACAGCCCATGGCTGGCTGGCCACATCTCCACATTCTCTTCACTCAAGGCTAAGGGGCACTCAGTTCCTATGTGGCAGCTCCTGACATACCTCAGAACTTAAAATCTCAAATAATTAGTGAATAACAAAACACAAATACTCAGAAATATATTTACAAAAGGTGAAGACTGTGATAGATCTGGTCCACATGAGTTCTGGAACTAGACAAAGCTCCCATCCTTTATTTAAGGGGGTACATCAAAGGCAGGATAAGTTTTCAAGGGTGGGGTCTTGCTTCGTGAAGTGTTACAGTCAGCAGGTTGACATCTTGGCAGGTCACACCCATCTCAGGTGCTGCGTGGGACATGGCAGAGCGGGATAGAGATTCACATTGCCTCTGGGAAATTGACCAGATAAAATGTCCACTGGTCATTCCCCGACACCCAGATGTCTCTAGCCACTAGGCTTCCATGTGCAGTGACCCACATGCAACCCATGGATGGCTCCTGATGGCAAAGAGGCATAGAAATTATTCTTTCTTTTTTAATATTTCTTTTTTTAGTTTTAGGTGGATTCAATATCTTTTTTTTAATATTTATTTTTTAGTTTTCGGCAGACACAACATCTTTGTTTGTATGTGGTGCTGAGGATCGAACCCGGGCCGTACACATGCCAGGCAAGCACTCTACCACTTGAGTCACATCCCCAGCCCTGGACACAATATCTTTATTTTACATTTATGTGGTGCTGAGGATCCAACCCAGTGCCTCGCGCATGCTAGGCAAGCACTCTGCCACTGAGCCACAACCCCAGCCCCTAGAAATGATTTTTAGTATCACTTATCATAAGAAAAGCACAAAGTAAAACCTTGAGATGCAGTGCACACATACTAAGCTGCTAAAGTCTTTCCTTAAGTACAGAATCCACATTGAAGATGATGAGCAGCCACGGGCATTCTCATACATTGCTGGTGGAGTACACAATAGTTCATCACTATCAAAAAGATAACCATTTTTTCCAAAATTAGACAAGGTGTCACCATATGATCCTAAGAATATAGAGAATTGCCTCAAAAACACATATCTAGATAACAGCAAGCAATTACATATAGTATTTCTATTCACAATGGCCCAGTACCTTAAAGAATCTGGATGTGCTTCAATGGTTGAACAAATAGCAGAATTGCCATGCATCCATGCCATGGAGGCCCTGGGGTCTCTGAGCTCCCCTACGTCTCCACACCTGGACCATGTGGTCTGACTTTACCTTTGCACACCTTGCAGAAGGAAAAGTGGGTTATATATGAAAACACCTGTAAGATGCAGGCTCGGATGCCCACTGGACCCAGATGGCCATTTAAGGGAGTGAGTGTAGAACAGGCTGGGGGCTATACCCCTCTTCTCAGAGTGGCCCAAGACAAGGTCAGAAGGGTAAAGGGGAAGGGGGGCTGGCTGTCAGTAAACTGAGGGTGGAGGCCTCTCTCCACAGGGGCTGAGCACAGGTGCTAAGGAAGGGCCTCCTGCCTCCATCCAAAAGGGCCTCTGGCCACTGCACAGATGCCCTTTCCCAGGTGGTCCAATCCCAGTCAAGGGTCAGCTCAAGGGAGTTTAGTCCATTTCCCCCAAAATGGACATGATACAGCTAGATGAGTTTCAGGACTGAGCAGTTTCAGGACTGAGCCCACTGCCTGTCCAGCAAAATGACCTGGAGGTCCTCACCCAGTCTCTGTCTCTGACTGACCACCTCCTCACAGACTTCACCCTACTGAATTCTAGACCCTACTTCTATAGGTAAGGCCACAGGCTGAGGGCTCTGCATGTTTCCTGGGAGGGCTGACAGTTGCCACATCCTGTAGCAGGCCAAGGCACAGTAGTCACTCCCTCTGCCCTAACTCTGGGGGGGGGCCTTCCTGGTGGGGGACACAGGGGCCCAGTCCTGATGTTTGCTGGAAGTCTTTAGTGTTCCTTGTCTTGCAATATTAGGTATTCCTCCAACTCCACACACCCTGCTGAGTTCAGGGAACCTGGGAGGCCAGGACCAATGCCCAGTTTTGAGCTACAAATTCTGTTTTTGGAAAAGTCTCAAAAACAGGGCTTCCTGTTGAGAGAGAAGAAAGAGCTTCTGCATGATAAGCTGGAGACATCCTGAAGGGCCATCCACGTTCTCAGCTCAGGACCCCACAGGAACTAACCCCTTGTAAGGCATGAGCCTGGAAAATCTATTCCCAACTCTGGAGAGAAATCCAGGGTTTGAGGCAGAGTTGAGTCAGGAAGGGGACACCCTGGTTTCCTGGGAAGTGACTGCTCCCTCCCCTCTGCTGCCAGGCTCCTCCCTTGGCCTCTCCTGGGTCCTCTCCTAGTTTCCTCTAAACTCTGCAGCCTCAGAGGTAAAAGCAAGACAGGGATATGTGTGTGTGTGTGTGTGTGTGTGTGTACATGTGTGCTTGTTTGTGCACATATGTAGTATGCATGCATGCTCATGTGTCATGGGCATGTCATGGGCATGTGGAGGGATGGTTTTGAGGGTGTATGTATATGTGTGTCTGCACATGTGTGCATGAGGGATGCCAGTCAGGAAAGAAATGCACTGCCTTCCTCCAGGGGAATCCAAGATCCTTATCCTCCCTCTGCAGAAAAGACAAAAATGGAAAAACACTTTCTTCTTTTGAAGTTCGTGTAAAGAAATAAAGCAGTGACATATTTTTTATTACAACCCACACACTTGGTCAAAACGCAGCCCAGCTCAGGGTCTTCATCCCCTGTCACTGTGTGCTCCGTCCTGAGTTGTTGGAAAGGCTGGAATTGGGGCTCCCCCTGCCCAGCAGAATCAGGATTAAAATGAGCTGATGTTTCCCTCAGAAGAAGGAGTTGAGCAGCAGGAGGACTGGAGAAGAGGGCATTGCCCAGACATTTGGAGCATGGAGAGCCCAGCCTCTGGTCTGGGTCTGACATTTTTCATGAGGTTAGAGCAGAGATCTCAGTCTGAAGTGTCCCAGGGCACAGTGATGGAGGCAGAGACTCAGAAGCTAGCAAGCTGCTCAACATCAACTTGGCTGTCACCGTGGAGGCTCTGCTGTCCCCACCATCCTGACCTTACCTGAGCCCAGATGCCCTGCAGTCTTCTAGATCAACCCGCTTTCCAACCAGGCCCACTTTCCTTGATGCCGCCCCCCCCCCCCATCAAAACCCATACTGCTCCACAATTTCTCTTCAGCTTCAGATTCAGAACAGTCTCAATGCTGGTGTGATTAGCAAGGTAGATCAAATGAAACAAAGGTTATCTTTAGTACAGGGGGAGCCAGTGTGTTTATTTCCCAGGGTTGCCATAATAAAGCACAGAAATGTGTGTGACTTAAACCAAAAACCTACTATCTCACAGTTCTGGAGGCCAGAATTCTGAAATCAGGGTGTCAGCAGGGTCATTCTTCCTCTGAAAGCTAGTGCAGAGGGTCCTTCCGCACCTCTTTAGTTTCTGGTGTTTGCTGTAAGTCTGTAGTGTTCCTTGTCTTGCAATATTAGAGAAAAAATTATCCAATGATACTTATTAAAGCACAGGGAAAGACTTTATTCAGGATTACTGCAAGAAAAACAGAGATCCCAAGCCCTATGCTTGACCATGCCAAACACTGTTGTTGCCCAGGGACCAGGTACAGCAGGGGTCACAGTTTACACAGAGCACATGGCATGTGACATAAGTGCCCAAAGACTTGGGTCACAGGCCAGAAACAGGAACCATCATAAAAGCCCCTGGGTAGTATAGTCTAGTGTTTTGCCTGCACAACCCTCATTCTGGGGGACCTTAGGGGTTGCAGGATACATTCACCTGGATAGCCCAGAGGGGATAATGACACTCTATGAGGTGGCTGTGCAGGTCAGGTGAACATATCTTCACAATAGTGGAGGTGGAAAGTCACAGCCTTCTCTCCTACTCTACAGTCTCTCCTTAAAGGGCTGCAGAGCATTCTGGTGCATTAGAGGCTCATTTACTTAACTGGTCCCCAGTAGGTCAGTCTGGCTGCTTCTGGTCTCTGGCCCTAAGGGCATTTGCCCCAACACTCATGAGCAACTCCTGGAGTCATCTTCTTAAGTAGAAGCCCAGCCAAGTGTGTGTGTTCACACCTCAAGTGATGTTCCCTTAACTACCTCAAGAGTGGTTTCCACTGAACACACAGCCTTTGCTGAGGGGGCTTGTGGCTCTACCCTGAAGGAGTCTGATTCCAGACCTACAAATAATCCACACTTATTCAGCTCACTGTTGCATAATTAGAACTGCAACTTGGCAAGGAGAAAAACGATCCCATGTGCCACAGCAAGACAACTAGTAGCTAACATCCAGGTGTAGATTTTTTCAGATTTTAAATATAGAAAGCCTCTGCTTTTTTTTTTAAGAGAGAGAATTTTTTAATATATATTTTTTAGTTTTCGGTGGACACAACATCTTTATTTTATTTTTATGTGGTGCTGAGGATCGAACCCAGCACCCCGCGCATGCCAGGCGAGCGCGCTACCGCTTGAGCCACATCCCCAGCCCAAGCCTCTGCTTTTTATAAACCACATGATTCTCTACATGCCACATATTGATACAATGATGGAGTCACACCCTGCACAGCATCTCTGGCTTGCCTCCTCTTCTACAGAGCGCGTTCCTCCTGCCCTATCAACATGGAAAGGAGGGAGGACAGAGTGCAGCAAGGTGGGGGTCAGGACCTTCACCCTTCCTATGACAGCCTCTCAAACTCCTAGGGAGTTGCTCCCATGTTATAGATGAGGAAACTGAGGAAAGGACACTTGACCGTTGGGGTAGTCAGAACTGGAAACCCTCCTGGCCCTGATGAGGGCCTTCTA